TTTTGTCCAGCCGGCCAAAGCTTGTTAGCCAAATCAATGGCTGACAGGAAAAGGAGACCATTATATCTCGGATAATAAACAGAGACGGCAGTGATAACAGCTTAACTGACAAGAAAGATATGTAGAATGTAATACAAGAAGCATTTCAGTAGACGAGTGCATGTTAGTGCATTCTAGAGAAGATAAAATTGGAAAACTAGAATCAAAGTTGGGCTACCAAAAGATCAGGCAAACGATTCATCATTCAATACACCAACAAAGCACAAGAAAAAAAATTGGTAGAAGACCGTAGACACCCACGTTTCTGAAAAGAGGTGCGGATTAGATGCCAAACCACCATAGTCTTGGTAGATGCAATCGCTAACAAAACTAAAATGGATATGCTGATATGACCTACCTGATCCTAACGTACTCGTCTCCTCGCCGACGGTGCACTATGAGTACGTTGATGACCAACTAATCCCAAGCGGCCAACACACTCGCGGCCGCACACATCTCAACGTCACATAGTCATGTCACCACGACCTACGACACTCATGGTTCCCTTACGTGCCGCGCGCTTTCGTTCTCGGCGTCGCAATAACTGCTCGTTGAACTCACGGACGCCCGTCTGAATCGCATTCCTCCAGGCAGTCCGGTTCAACGCTAAGTCTTGTTGATAATGTACAGTCTCCCTCGTAGTCATATCTCGCTTGATGTTGTCCAGATTTTCTATCGTAAATTAGTCTTCTATGTTGCAATGCAGCACTGTTGCTTAGCCGTATCTGCCTTCTACGTTCACGATACAACAATGGCATAGTCTACTCGCTGTGATATACGAGATTCATTCATAACTGTCTTGGGGATTATAGGCACAACAGTCACCAACAACATGTTGGACAAACTGCCCACAGTGAATAGTAGCGACCTTAATTACTCTCTGGTCACCATGTTTTCTTGTTAATTCAACGTACCCTTTGGATTTCCCGGTCGCAGAATATCCAACTAAATCCGCGAAGATTACTTCCCATTGGTTTCCACGATGTTCTCAATATCTTTCAGTAAAACTGAGGATTGGTGAATATGGCACAAGACTTAACAGCTGCTCATTCTGGTCCTGACGGCGAGTGGTATGAAACGCCATCGTAAACTACCATCATTACATACGTAGTGGTGGGTATTCGAACCAAGACCACCCTGAGATATTACCTTCAGACTTTACCGCTTTACTGTCATATCCGCAAATGATGTTCTACGACAACAGTCTCGGTCACGGATCCAAGCTGCAGAACACTACAACCGTAACCGATGGTCACCGTAGTGCATATACTTATACCTTTCAAAATTATTCTCACTGGCACACTTGTTCTCCTCCGGTTTCATGCTTACTGATAGGTGGAGTAAATTTTTTATATTGATACATCCACTATTCAAATACTTCTGAATGGTTGTAGTGGATAGGTCCTGTTTGGTGTACGTACGTAGTCGTAAATGCCCCAGAGTCAACGCTGGATCACCAGTTATCCAATTCAACAACTCATTACTCAGCGAATCAGTCAGCTTCGTTTTCCTCTGATTACCACTAGCCTTGGGCTTATACGCGGTACAATCAGCATGCAACCCACCGTAAACACTTCCGCTATTCACACCGATCATTGCCGGTGTCACGTACCAATCCACTCCTCACGTAAATACCAGAATGACTCGCCGATGTGCTTCATCAGAGAGGTGACTGTTCTTGCGTGTGTTGTGCATTTCGTTCAAATTACATTAGAACTGAATATCTAAACCACTGAGCTTGTCTGTTTGGCATTGCTTTTCCACCTTCAATCATTCGGGTGATTGACCGACATCTCGGTTACTTCGATGGGTCTGTTTGTACTAACTGATTCGCACTGCTGTCAAAGTGGACTTTAAGTCACCCACTCGCTTGCTTGACCCCATGTTCACGTTCACATGGATTATTGCATCGTTTGGCCACTGTTGCGTTAAGCGGATGGGATGAAATGTTTGAACTCACTGCAGTAGGGATGGTGTAACGAATAC